GCTCACCGCAAGCTCCGCCTCCCGGGTTTACGCCATTCTCCTGCCTCAGCCTCCGGAGTAGCTGGGACTACAGGCGCCCACCACCTCGCCCGGCTAGTTTTTTTTTTTTTGTATTTTTTTTAGTAGAGACGGGGTTTCACCGTGTTAGCCAGGATGGTCTCGATCTCCTGACCTAGTGATCCGCCCGTCTCGGCCTCCCAAAGTGCTGGGATTACAGGCTTGAGCCACCGCGCCCGGCCATGATTATCCTTAAGATGGTCCACACCCACTCCTCCAGCCTTACTCTCTGTGGCAATGGTGGGGACAGTAAGTAAAGACAGCATTGCAGAATGGTTCCAAACACAAGCTTTGGGATCAGACTGAATAATTGATGTTAGGGCTTGACTATCCTATTTACAAATTGTATAATCCTGGGGGAGTTACTTCACTTTTCTAGACCTGACATTATGATCCATGGAAATCCCACTGCACTGGGCCAGGTATATGGTAAACCTTGAATAAACTGAAACTATTATTGTCATCCTGATAATAAACCTTAGAAGTTATTCTCAAGAAGTTCACAGACTTACAAGCTGGACAGAAACTTAGAAGTCATTTAACTGAAGCCTCTCCCTTTGAAGATCACAAGGACCAGAGGTGTGAATTTACACAGTAGAGCTAAGACTGGGGCGCAGGACTCTTTTTGGTTAGCCATGAAGTTCTCAGATCTCATGGAAGAGGACAAATAATACTCAGCTTACTTTCATTAATGGTGGAGAGAAATGATCAGTGACAATCCAGAGAAGATTGGCTCTGTGTGAATTGGGGCCCTAAGGAGGCCTGTGGTGGTTCCCAAAGTGGGTGTGTTCAGGAGAAAGGACAGGCAGGTGCTGCCAGTGGCTGGTGTCACTTGGTCTCATTAGAGAGAGTCACCAAACAGATCGCTGATGGGATTAGGTTCCAGCAGTTCTAGCTTTCCCCACCACCTGTCATGTCAAATTCTTTCATTTGAGGGAGAGGACCCAATATGCAGAGTGTGCTGATGTTACCTTGGTTGCAGCTCAATTCCCACCAACAGTGGGGTTGTAAGAATCAGCCTGGAGAGACCAGAACCGGAGTTGGCAATCTAGAGCCCACAGGCCAAATCCAGTCCACCACCTGATTTTGTAAATAAAGTTTCACTGGGACATAGCCACAGTCATTCATTTACGTACTGCCTATGGCTGCTTTTCTGGTACAACAGCAGAGCTCGGTAGCGGGAACAGACCAAACAACTCACAAAGCCTAAAATATTTATTATCTGGTCCTTTATATAAAAGATTGTCAACCTCTGGCATAGAACTTTATCAGCTGCTTAGGGGACAAAGGCCCTCTCCAGGCTAAGAAAGAATCAACTGATTCTTTCAGGATATTTTTATGCCCCTGGCAGAGATTTAACTAATACAACTAAAGAGAAGTATAGGCTTAGAATCCCTTTACAATTCAAAAGTCATCTCTTCTTCAGTGTGGATGTGAAAGACTACTGTCTACCTCCTGTAAGGGTGGTTCTGGTTCTGGCCTCCCTCTTATTCTGGTGCACGGAGGAGATGGAATAAGTTGAAGACAAAGCCAAGGCCATTCCATGCATTATTTGGATAGTTAGAAGGCCCATCTCTGAAGGAATTTGTATACTATAAACCAGGCACTTGCCATAGATTATTTTGTCTATTCATTATAATAACCCTATTTAGTATGATTGCCCCCATTTTACAGAAAGGTGGACTAAAGGTGAACTAACATTGCAAAGATTTGTAACTATTTGACTCCATGTTGTCTGGAGGTGCATTAATTCAACTCCTGAAATGCCTGACTGTTCAAACTATGGTCAAAAGTAACTTAAATTCACCCAAGCCAGACACACTAGAAATCTAAGTCATTGTTTCTAGAAGTTTGCACTGCAAAACACTATCTTGTAAGATAGTCACTGAAAAGGTCCAATATGTTTAGAAAACATTGCATATGTTTCTGCCCTCTTAGAAATAACTTGATGCCATTCGCAAGTTATAGACTCTGAGAAAAATTTTCAAACATTAAACCATATTAGCCTCTAATCTATAACAGCATCCCATAAAACTAGTATGCCAAGGAACACACTTTGGGAGCTGTTGAAGTAGATGATGGTGGTGAATGATGATAATAGCTAATATTTATTAAGCAATTACGGTGAGCCAGGCACTGAGCTAAGTATTGACAAGCATTAAATTCATTTAAACTTCATAGTAATCCTATGAGATAAAGACTGTTACTAATTCTTCTCTTGATAGATGAGGAAACTGAGGCACAAAGAGACTAAATAACTTTCCCAAAGTCTTGCAGCTAGTAAGTACTGGAGACCTTGAGCACCTCAAACACATGGATCAGGGATCAATTCATCTTTGTGTATACCCTACACTTAGCACAGTGCCTGGCACATATTATGCACTCAGGAAATAACAAATGAACTGAATTGCAGATAAAATCCTAATAAAAATAAGTGACTAGAAGGTATGGAGTAGAACATTTCAGAGCTTTAAATGGTATTTACAGTGAGGAGAGTCCCTTATTAATCAGGGCTTCTATTTGTTCCAGACAAGACTAATCTAGATAATGTCCCTACTATAAACCATTGTGTATGGTGTAACCATGTTCATATTTTATTTCATGTACCCTACTTAAGGTTAATGCAAAGATAATAGGAAAATATCAGATAGTGCTGATCCTATTTACCCACAAGAAATAATATTTCATTTGAAGGTGCATTAAATTGGGCCTTTTGTGTGGCATAAAACATATCGAGAGAGGCAGTACCACATCTATAAGGAACCGCTGTATTGCCTTTGTTGGCTGAATGGATGGATCTTTTGTAATGCGATATAATAATGGCTACTGAGAACAGTCAGTCACAGCTTTTAAAATATTACAAATCTAAAAATATATCAAGGTCAAAATTAGTAAATAAAATGCTAGTGAATTTTCAGTGTGGATTTGAGGGAGGCCAGGGACCATTAAGGAAGAAAAACCAACATACTTTCCGTTTTAAAAGTAAGAGGGAAAAAAGGCAGCCCGAGAGAAAACTGTTTTTGTGTCCTGAAAAAATAAAAAGGAATTTTTATGTTTAGCACTTCCAGAGGTTCAAATTCAGTGATTAAAAGATATTACTTCTCACAACTTTAACATAAAGTATTCCTGAATGATGATAATAATTCTAATAATGGTTGACACTCAATGTGTGCTTACTATGCTGGGGTTTTTTTGTTTGTTTTTTTGTTTTTTTCTTTTTTAGATGGAGTCTCACTCTGTTGCCCAGGCTGGAGTGCAGTGGCACAATCTCGGCTCACAGCAACCTCTGCCTCCCAGGTTGAAGCGATTCTCCTGCCTCAGCCTCCTGAGTAGCTGGGACTACAGGTGTGTGCCACAATGCCTGGCTAAATTTTTGTATTTTTAGTAGAGACAGGGTTTCACTGTGTTAGCCAGGATGGTCTTGATCTCCTGACCTCATGATCCACCCACCTCAGCCTCCCAAAGTGCTGGGATTACAGGCATGAACCACTGCGCCCGGCCTACTATGCTGTTTTAAGTATTTTATACATGTAGCCCTAGGAAGTGAATACTATTATTTTATCTCCATTTTACAGATGTGGAAATAGAGGTGCAGAGAGGTCAATTAGGGAGAGTAATTTTCCCATGATCTTACACCAGTCCAGGATGGATTAAGGACCCTAGAAATATAGTTTCAGAGCCCATGCTACTAACTGCTTCTACACTGGGTAAAAGAGAAGATTCAAAGGCTCAAGGATGTCCACAGGTCTGGGAGACAAAATATAATTCCACTACCACTGTCAGGGAAGTCAGAGACTCACTAGGTAGACACCAGAGGGCTGGATGTGACAATGCAGAGTGGAATCTTGCCAAATGCATAGGCCCTTCCTTGGTGGTTTGTTCAATGACATGTTTCCAGAGGTTGTTGTACATCCTGCCACTTAAGAACCTCTTCAATTTAAGGATCTGTATTAATCGTGACAAGTAAAGATCTGTCCTTCCACCTACCTCTATCAGTGGTGTTTGCTAGGATTTCTAAACCCCTTGATGACGTATTTACAACCTGGCCACAAGCACAGCCCTCCACAATACAGTCAACCATTTATGATTGTGTTTCTGTTGTGATAGTACATCAGGCCTAAAATATTCAGGAACTGCCACATGACCTGCAGTATTCAGAAAAGTCCAAGGAAAAAGTTCCTTTGGAGAAAGCACAGACAGGCTCCATGTTGATGGAAAGATGGAATTTTACAATAAAGCATTGTGCCCAGAGTTTCAGGGTGGAAGCCCCTTGAGAGTCAAATACAGAGCCCTTAAGAGAAATAACAAATTAATTATTGAGTAAAAACAAATACTGAAAGTTATTTTCATAATTGTATTTTTGTTTCCAAATGCCTGCTTCCTCCTTCCCTTTTTGTGGGTGACACTTAAGTCAGTTTAAACAACCAAGGAATTTGTTTGCTGGGAGGGCATGTGGAGAACGAATAACATGTGAATTTTAAAAGATAAATACCCAAGCCCTGGGAAGAACACTTAACTACAAAAGGATATTATTTAAAGAAAGATATATTTCAAACAGATGAGTCAACAAACTGTGACTCATCTGTTTGTGCACATATCAATTGGAAATTAAAAATAAAATTGAATATATCCTCTATCAATGAACACATCAAAAACATCAAAAAACATACACACTACATTTTTTAGAAGATAATTTAATTCTCACTTATAGACTGATTGTCTTATAATTCAGAACAATTAAACAAAAATAGCTTACTTCTCCTGTCTCAGTTGTACCTAACTGGTTTTATATCCTTTCTCAATTGTACCTTACAAATCTTATGAAGAACTTTATTTTCTTCTTGAAGTTCATCATCAGCTAGGAGTGAACAATCACCAGAATTACTAAGCAATCAGGCAAGAAGTTGCAGAGCTGTTGTTAAAATACAAATATACCTACTTACCTGGATGGCTCTAACATTGGAAACTGGCTGTTTCGACATATTCATGCAGTCTTATCCCTAAAAAAACAAGTAAGAAACTGTTAGAGGTGGCAGCATTCAGATTCTCAGTCTTGATAAATTAGAATTTAACTCATGATTCAACTGGGCAGTCACCCCTTTCACTGGCCATATATTCTTTCAGTCTCAGTTTCCAAAGTTACTAAGAGACTCTCCTTCCTAATGCCTCGGGTGAGGGAACACTAGAGCGCCAGGATAAATCATTCAGGAGGAGAAATGGTGAGACGCCTCGCCCCTGATGCTAATGATATACAATCAGAAACTTGAAAGGTGCTATCATCTCCTTCCCTGCCCTCCTGACCTTCTGCCAAGAGCAGCAAAGCAAAGAGATTGTGGGAATAAAACACCTTTGTTCCGGGCCTCTGAAGTTCTTGGCTTGAAACTGAACTTTTAATCTGAATTCATAATTGCCAGGGCTGCTATAGTTCATTGGGAGTGCCTCCTCTTTGTTGAACACCCAAAAAGAAATGGCCTGTACCACTTCCTTAACTGCTGCAATGCTCTCTACTTGCTGTGCAGTATCTGTTCTGCCCAGCAACCTAGGAGATGCTCTGAGGACGTAGGTCCCATCTCCTGCTGTGTGTGCCCCCACCCTATGCTTTCAACCAGGTGCCTCATACAGAGCCCAGGCTCTGTAAACAGGCAGACAGCAAGCCTCACCTGTAAACTTTTCTTTCTAGGAGGCAAGGAAGACTTACAAATGACCATATCAAATCCTCAAGATGTAGAAGTGCTTCCTTCCCAAAAGACTTTTGCTTTCTTTAAGCATGTGAGACCTGATTTAGAGCACAGTGACTACAGCACATTAGGGGATGTGAGATGCAACTTACTGGAGATAGGGGAGAAGGGAATGGCCCAGCTCTGGCCTGTTTTTGTAGTTTGGCCTATTAAATGTCAGCAGGACCAACTGAAAAATTAAAAATTCATTGAATTCAAAGCATGCTGTGTTTTAAACCCAAACTGTAAAACAGGTTGATCGAGGTCTATCGACTGGTGTAAGTGATGTGTTCACTGGTGAGTAAAAGAATGCAAAAAGCAGTGTTGGCATTTGCCACACATCTTGTGTAACCTGGGCAATGTCACTCAATATTTCTAAGCCCATTTCCTCTTCTTTAAATTTTACCTGCTTCACAGGTTGTGGTAAGAATCCATATGACATACATGCTCCTGAAAAGGCCTTGTGAACTGTAAAGCATGATGCAAATATTTATTGTTTATTACCATCATCCATAGCTAATGACTTTGGAGTGCTGTACTCATCTCCAGCTTTAAGTTCAGAGTAATAATTTTTATAGGTATGTTCCCCAACACCTGTAGAGATAAAAGATCTGAAAAGAACTCTGTGAAAAAAAGTTTTTTGAAATCTCCAAAGTCTTAGGCTCTATTATGTGAAGTTAAACAATTCCATATTTTTTAAAAACCTCTATACTCAGGGTATCCAAATATATAGTTTTTGGAGCCACATACATGAAAACAATAGGACTCTTTTTTAAAAGTTTCACCTGAATGTCTTTGTAACATATAGATTTAGCCTCCACGCATAAGGGTCTAGGTAGAATTATTTTTAATATGGTTACAAAATTAAAAAGCAACAACAAATGGAACAGTCAAGGATACATTTTTCTCTATGATATGCTTCAAATAGATTGCTGTATTTCCTGCAGCGTCATAAAGAAATGAAGGATTTTTAATTTGTGGATCTAGGACACACAGCTTAATTCCAAAAAGAAAAGCTTGGTGGCTTAATTTTTAATGTTTTTATTCCTCAAAAGCTGTTAGAAGTCATACAAAGCAATAATTTTCACAGAACTTTAAATATCTTAGCATATGGTATTCTCTGTGTGTGTACAACTAAAGTTTAACTAATATCACTTGGGAACTTGTCCAAAAAGTTATTGTACATCAATTTGAAACAGGGATTAGAAAATTTCTTTATGTTATGACAATGGCAAGTTGAAATATTTTTTAAAATTAGTCAGTGAATGTTATACTGTATTTTTTTAAAAAACCAATTTTATATTTTCAATGGACTGATTTAACTTACTACTGGATTGCTGCTTTTGTGTGAACCTCTGAACCTCAAGAATGGATGGGCCTTGTCTCCTGTACAATTTTGGTATATTCTAATTTGCACACAAATCTCTTAACATGCATGTCAATCTTTGAAAGAGACATCTATAAAAAGCTGGTCAGATCCCAACTCTCATTCCTCACAAACAGGCTGGATAACATTTGTGTAAATCAGTTCAGCAGCAGTTCCTGCTGTCCTCATTATTTTCAGAGAAATCAGGGCAAAGCATACTGATGAATAAAAATAGACAGTGTTCCCTGTTTCCCTGGCCATGCAGTCACCTCTATCAGGGATATAGAGTGTGGAACACACCTTCCTTCTTCATCTGCATGCTTCGTCCCCGGACCAAGAAAAGAAAACTATGCCTTAGATACACACTCCACTCCCATGAGGGCCACCGCTTTTCATCCAAAGAGGTACTCTTTACAGCACTCAATTACTATGTCTCCTGATTCTGGCTAAAGTTTTGAAACATGGAAAGTTTGACAAGGCATATACTGACTTTTACAAAGCCTATAATATAATGAAAACGCTTGCCAGCTGAGCACCGCTGAGTTTTCCTGGCAGTTCTTTAAGTCGGTGGGGACCATTAATGGTCTGTATGCTGAGTCACCTATGATATATCCCTACTTGTCTTTGATTGGGTAGCACCTAATATCTGACTTCTAAATAGAACTCTTTGACTTACTAAAAATTTGTCAATAGTAATATCACTCATTTAATAAGAAGGGATTCAGAGGAAAATCAATCACTATTCAGAGATAAGAGCTTTGTTTGTTCTTTTTAAAGGTTGAATAAGTGGGTAAAGCTCCATCTCAAAGGGAATTATCTTCTGTCTTGTAGCTAAAAATAATTCCTGAGAAGGGTGTAGAAAGATGTTCAGCTGTCTGAACTGACTAACTCCTTATTCACTCTGCTTTAAATATGCTGAGAGGAAAGAGGTACTCTTAGTGTTCTCATGCTTCAGAACCTGGTGCCCACATAGAAAGGGACAGTGAGTGCTGCCCTCTACCCTGCTGAGTATGGGAATACTGTGACCGAAGTGAAGATTTTAAAAGATGGTTCTATCATTGATAGTACTTTATCATTAAGACCAAGCCTGGTGCTTAGGGAAAGGAGAAAATCCTTTTAAACTTGTACTGTATAAAAACTCTGGCAATAATTTGCATTTTGGTGAATCAAAGAATTAGCATTATAGCTTTTCTTTGGCCCAAATTCTGATGATTTCTTGGCTTAGGGCTTCAATCAATCTGCAGCTGACCGACTAATCCTGGCCAGCACAGCTTCAAGGTCACAGTTATAATTTCTAGACTGTGGACATTTTATTATTGCCACTATCGATGAAAACTGCCCTTCAGTATTTGCCTAGTTCAATATTCTTTCAGCACCCTCACCCCTCACAATTTATAAACAGAATCAGCAATACCACCAATGAAAAATGAATTTACAAGGAAGCTATACTCACTGGTTACAAGCCTACAAAGTTAAAAGTAGTCACTTCAAGTTAGGTATCAAGGAAATTTCCTTTAGAAAACCCAGTTGCCGGGAGCTGGGTCCTTCTGCTTACCTGCTTTATGTATTTGTTTACTGCCTAAGGAAAGTCCCAGGCAGCCAGATGCAAGAATATAAAGCTCCTTGGAAGGTGGAAGGGGTGCCCGGTGTCCTCTGAGCTGCGATCTCAATTCCGATGCTTTTCATGTGGCTGAAATAGCTCAAGTGCTCTGTGCCTCTCCCAGTATTGAGAGCTGCTCCTGGCTCGGGGCTGGAGGGGAACTTAAACCGTTAAGGCTAAGTGTTAAAGAGAATTCCTGTCATAGCTCACAGTTGTTCTTCCTAAATATAGAGTTTGATACAAGCCATACGCTGGCTGCCTCCAAAAGGCTTGACCGTGCGGAAAGCAGGGCTCAAATGTCAGCCGGGAGGTGGCTATGGTATCTTATGTGCCCTCCTAATCTTCCAGAAGATGCTGGCTGCATTTTCTCATATATTCTGAGGGGTTATAGCAAAGTTCAAAAAGTAGGAAAAGTCTATCTTTAGCTTTATTACCTGGATGCCAGAAGATGAGCATTCAATAAAAATTGTGGGGGGGGGGGGGGCGGTGTCAGCATGGCACCATGCCTCTCAGCAGGGGTACTGACATTAAACAGGGCTTGAATCCTAGCTTGGTCACTTGGGAGCTGTTAAAGTTACTTAATAATAAGTAACTTTATTTCAACAAATAGTCACCAAATAATGATATTTATCCTATTAAGTTGAACTATATGACATTGCCCTTTTTGTAGGTCAAAAATGGTCCAAGACCGACAGGCTGGTGAGCTTCCAGGGCCCAGAGCCCTGCCCACTCTGCTCTACTGCCTCTACTAGTGACAAAGATTTTGACCCTAGAGCACATGAGACAACAGAACAAAGAAGAAATGTCTGTTTTAAATATGACAAGGGCCAGGAGCAGGTACAAGGCAAAACATTTTTTAAAGAGAAAACTTCCAAATCCTAAGATACATGCTCATTATTTTTAACACTACTTTTAATTTTTTTTAACCTCTCCAGTCTCTGAAATTACCTTTACATAGAGTTGTACTTCAGTAGAAGTATTAAACAGAGTGGAGAGACTTAAAATCCATCCACTGTGGAAGTGAGCTCCATGTCTGAGTTCTTGACAGTATGGTCAAGCCACTGAACTATATTGCCAGCAATCATTGCTTACCAGTCTTCTTATTACATGAGAAAAAAAGCTCCAATTTGTAGGAACCCTAGACATCAGGCTTCTGTTCCCTGTAGCTGAATGCATTCCAGATGGAAGTAGTTGGCTTTTTTCAGAACTGTAAAAGGAAAACCAACTTTCTGGGAGTTTAGGAGGTCAACAGATAATTTTGGTTCATTTTAGATTGGGGTTCACCATTAAGTTCTGTTCATGTGCTGTTCAAAAGAATTGTATCTTTAAAATTCAGTTTAGACATCATCCTTTGAGATCACATGGTGCCAAAAGTGAGTTATTTATACACTGGAGAAGAGAATATAGTGAGCACCTTAATATTTCTCCAAGTGTTTGGCTACTTCTGTGTGTTCAGAGCTCTTCACCAGACAAATGATGGCATCACTCCACGGACCAACAATGAGCCATTTATGGCCCCTTGTGCTGAAGTTAGCCCATGCATTTTGCCACAGTCCTTTTGCCCCAGTGGCCTCTCAGTAGCCACTGATGGTATATACATTGAGGAAACTGCTCCTGGCAGAAATGCCTTGTACACAGGGCTGGCCCAATATGAGTGTGACTGCCTCTGTGGGAAAAACTAAGGTGAGATGCATAACCAGGGCTCTGTTGGTCATAAGTCACAGTAACCCAAAGGGAACTAGTTTAAGCCAGGAGGGGTGTGGCAGACAGTCAATGTCTTTCTCAGTATCACTTTTGTCCACCTGAGTTCTGTAGCTGTAGGCAGCTTCCAGTACACTGTCAGCTTCACACCTCTCTCTTTTTCTCTACACTGGGGCTCTGCATATCATCCAGAAGCAGGAGACATAACCCATAAGTGCCAGGAAAAAACACCCCTAGGGACAAGCCTCAACCAATGGGAATGGAAGTCGAGCGATAGATGTCCCCACTTCCTCATCCTGTGGTCGGAAGATTCTGAGGTGTGATCTACAGTTTCCCAGAGGTCCCCAGCAGGACCGAGCCCCAGCTGCCCACCATGGGGATTTGCTCATTAATATACCCTTGTTGGCTTCCTCTTTTCCCTCACTTCCCCCGCTTGCATTCTCTGGGATCATCCCCCAAGTAGATCACCTGCAACCAAGTCCTTGTCTCAGCATTTGGAGTTGAGGCAACCCAAACTAAGAAAAAAGAATTTATTAGGAAGGTTTCATATTGCGAGAGGAAGGGCAGGGGTGCAGGTGAACCTCATCAATTACCAGAACCAAGAACTCGGACCTCACTAGAGAATGATGAATCTATTTCTGCAGCTCCAATTTTAAAGACCTCAGGGCTCTGGTTGCCCCAGCCTGAGTCAATACCGCACTCCTGGTTAGTAGCAAGGTTACCGAGCATAGAGGAGGCCATTGGGGTACATACCTGTGCATTAGGTCCTTCCCAGAAAGGGGAATAGTTGTGAGCTGAGCAGCTCTCCCAGTTGGGTCTCCAAGAGGCACCAAGAAGCCAAGTGTTTTTCCTTGACTTCTTGCAATAGCCTGAAATTTCTACTCCTGTTGTCAGGTTATTGATTTAAGACTCCATAAAAAGACACATGCTGGCTGGGTGCAGTGGCTCATGCCTGTAATCCCAGCACTTTGGGAGGCCGAGGCAGGCAGGTCACTTGAGGTCAGGAGTTCGAGACTGGCCTGGCCAACATGGTGAAACCCCATCTCTACTAAAAAAAATTACAAAAATTAGCTGGGCATGGTGGTGCACATCTGTAATCCCAGCTACTTGGGAGGCTGAGGCATGAGAATCGCTTGAACCTGGGAGACGGAGGTTGCAGTGAGCCAAGATCATGCCACTGCACTCCAGCCTGGGCAACAGAGTGAGACTCTGCCTCAAAAAACAAACAAACAAACAAAAAAACACATGTTGTTTGACAAGGGTAACAGAAGAAGTCTCTGACACACACCAACACATACCAGGTTGGTGAGTGACAATTAACTGGGCCTGAAGGGATGGGGCACAAGATGAGTCCATTTCTTTTTGAGAGGATTGAGATAGGAGAAGTTGGAAAAACATAGCCTTAAAGTATGAAAAATGGAGAGCTGGGGGTACTGGGCATTGAGGGGGTAGCTTGAGTCCTTTGGGCATATTTCAGTGGAGATCACAAAGAGGGGTATGGTTGGGGGGGTGTTGACAAAATCAAAATTCACTTAAGTCATTCCTACCTGCATGCCTTCACCCCTCCTCCCCTATGGTCAAAGAGCAGGATGTCTAACAACATCTTACATCTATAGAACCCTTGCTCAGTTGCAAAGTGCTTTCATTTGTATTATTTTATTTAATCCTCCCAACAGCCCTGTGGATTCAGTGGCATTCTTCCAATTTTATCGATCAGTAAGCCAAGGCTCAGACTGTCATTTCAGAGCCAGTTATCCCCAGCTTTTGACTTTCAAAGTTACTGCTCTTTCCTGTTATACCACAGTGCCCTCAAGGAACCACACTCATCTGTATGCCCCACATAAGCACATACAAATATGGTAACAGGATGCATCTGCTTGCAAGTAACAGAAAACCTAACCAGCAGTGGCTCAATCAACAGTCATTTAATCATCTCACAAACCTAGGAACTTAAAGGAAGGTAGTTATGGGCTGGTTCAGAAATTCTACGAAGTCAAAAACTCTCGGGCTCTTCCCAGATCCTCTTTGGGAAGGTGGATCTACTCTGCCACTCTCAACAAGTCAGCTTTTCATCCTCATGCTTCTTAACGTGTGTTCCCAAGATGGCTGCCACAGCTCCAAGTGTTAGGACATTTTACAAGCATCCAAACAAGAAGGAATAGCAGTGATGATGGGAAAAGGGGCTTTTCTTCCCAAGGAGGAAACTCTTTCCCAGAAGCCCCAAGCTGACTTCCCCCTACATCTCTTTGGCTGGAACTGGGTCTCATGGCTGCAAAGGAGGCTAAGAAAAGAAATAAATGGAAGCAGGTGGATGGAATAGAAATGATTAGCTAAGATCAAATGTCCCATATAAAATTGGGATGCTCTTAGCAATGAAGAAGAAAGGAAACAGCAGTGACACAGACAAAACGTGCACACACATACAGAGCTTTAATGGAAAATGTGCTTACACACACATAATCTCATTTAATTCTCACCACCTTATGAAGCAGGTATTGTTTGTCTATCTCTATTTTATAAATGACAAGACACACTGGAAAAGGTCAAGTCACATGCCTAGGAAGTGGCTTAGTCAAAACTCTAATCTAGGTCTGCAGGCTCCAAATTTCATGTGTTTCCCCTATTCCTCCATGCACAAACCAACAAGAGGAGCCAGGCTGCTCATACCATTGTCCCATCTGTGAATGCCCTCTTGGCATGTGCCCCAAATTACAGGCTTCTTTTGGGTTTGTCTTTGCTTGGTTATACTCAATCTTAGGCCTACCTACAGTTTGGGCAAAGAGTAAAATAAACCATATTACAGAATTTTGTAAGTGAATTAATAGATAACTCTTTGTACCATTATGTATAAACATGTAACCTCCAAAAAACATTATAGGCTGATAAAGAGAATAAAAAATAACAAATAAAGAATGGTTAGCTAGGAAGAAAAAATTATGAAAAAGAAACTAGCTATGATCTAATGAAAACACTTTTCCCATAATATTTACTTCTATATTCAATTTGAATTCTAACAGGATGACTGTGATCAAATCAATGTCTGTTTTTAATCCAGGAGAGCAGGTGACAAGGTTTGTCCCCTGGGTTGCATACTGCGTGATGACATCCCTCCTTCCCCAGCAGATGCTGGCACCTTTAAAAAGACTGATGTGCAAGGTAGGAAAAAAAATTTGTTGTCATTATCTTTAAAGAAATTGATACTCTTGGCCGGGCGCGGTGGCTCAAGCCTGTAATCCCAGCACTTTGGGAGGCCGAGACGGGCGGATCACGAGGTCAGGAGATCGAGACCATCCTGGCCAACACGGTGAAACCCCGTCTCTACTAAAAATACAAAAAAAAAAAAATAGCCGGGCGAGGTGGCGGGCGCCTGTAGTCCCAGCTACTCGGGAGGCTGAGGCAGGAGAATGGCGGGAACCCGGGAGGCGGAGCTTGCAGTGAGCTGAGATCCGGCCACTGCACTC